TTTATTCAGCATTTCACATCAGTTCAGTGCTTCACAAGCAGCACTAGAGTAAATCCAATTAAACTGGACTAATTATACTCACTTTGTAATGAGACATCTATGACATGCTCAGAAAAGCACATTGTGACATAATTTATCATGATAAAAATAACAAGTCGTCACATTGCCCCCCCACATACCACTGCAACAGATAGACTGATGGATTGGCCACTTTCGCCATGTTTAATGGCAATAAATCTCCATGAAACTTCCACATTGAACATCTAATTCTTAGAACAAGGCAAAGTCATATCAAGCACGTACACATTCTCCTCCACACTGAGACAGATTGTTGTACTACCAGTTTTAGGAAGCAGGCATTATGATCTTTTTCCCCTTAGTCACTCTGTGATTCATGATGCTGTATATTCTGAAGTGGCTAAACATATTCAAACATATTCACATGAAATCCAACACCAACAGAGTGGGGTGCTTTATATGAGGACCATAGCATAAACATAGGCTGTGCTGGTCATTAAATACCCCCAACACCCCCATCCAAATATAGATGTTTTCCGTGAAACATAAAGCTATTACGTTATGTTACTGATAAAGCTTCAGTGACAACTTTCTTTTTTACTCTTTTTACAGCTCCAAGTAAGTGTAATTTTTCCGAAGTGTAAGCACGTGGACATGTAATAGGAATGGGAGAAATCAGAATCAGAATATTCCAAAATATAAGTAGAAATACACACATTGTAATAAAATTGTATGATAACGAGGCTTTATTATTCTCTGCTGGAAAATACAGTATACCTTTAGTTACTTTATTAAATAGGTCAGTATGTACAGTACTAAGCAAAAGTCAGAGACTACTCTTCATTTATTGACATTCCAGTTAAAATTGCCATTAAGTACATGTTGTTCATTTATCAATAACAGGAAACACAGACATTATACATTTAACAGAAAATTACACAGAAGCCTCAACAACTAAATATAATAACAGATTTTTTTCAAGTATTTTACAATCACAGTAATCCCAAACACATTCAGTTGGGAATTTATTCTATTTCCTTTTCTCAGAAACAGCTGCTTTTAAAGAGCAGTTTTGAAAACTCTTGTTTTTTAGCTTATTTTCCTTTGACTGTCCCCTTTCTTATGCATGTGAACTATCTAATGAATTCTCTCATTTGTATTTAACAGCTGTTTGACTGGAAATAACATTCAGTAAATGACTTTTGCGCAGTACTGTATGGTGTGAAACGGCTCGAGCTGGTCCGAGCAGAATATACACGCTTCACTGTGCTACTGTTTTTGAGTTTGTACTAACAACATTCCAGTCTGTTGGCTGTGGACTGTAACTCAGGCAAAGCCCTCTTTCAGGCGTTTCATTGGTAAACACTGGCGTCAGGGGGACGGCCCGTTTGGAACTTGCTTTAAAGCACACATCTATCACAGAGTTGTTTTTCTCCTTCAACCAACTTACACTTCCCATAAGAGAAGAGCGATGAGGCTTACTAACTGATGGCAACTGATACCTGACACTTCCCTAATTTATCCCACACAACTTCCTTTCAATTTCCCCCATGTGATATTGGCAATATTCAGTGGCTTCACCACACTGAACTCATGTCATTAAATGCTGTAAATGGCCTCGTAAACCTGACATATTTGAAGTGTGACATGCTGTAAAATGGCCGCGAGTCAGATTTGCTGAGTTCTTTTATTGCAAAAATTTATCATCTGAAAATGAAGCATTTTATCATTTCATTTTCTCTCTATTCCCATTAAAGAGCATAGCCAGTGTGAAGAATGACTTAAATGGATGCATCCAGAATAGAAAGATTATAACCATGGTGTACAGTTGATTCTCATTTTGTAATTCTGGTGCATTTTGTGCCCCTTTAAATTGCATGTTCCATCTGCATTGGCAGCGCTCCACTGTATGAGTCAGTGGTATAGTGGAAATGCTTATGTGGTGTCTTCAGGGCCCCCGCTACTAAAGACACTCACACCCCTGCGGTGGGCCAATCTGGAATCTATCTCACCTTTCTCTACCTGTTGTTTCTGCCCACCATGACCGACACATATTTACTGCAAACATGTCAGAGAGCATTTCTCCTTTCAGGATATGCCTTACAAGGACAGTGGAGTGAGAGGATGTTAAGCACATGGGCCACATTCACGTGCAGAATACAGAGAAAACCCTATAGTGATAATGATAATAATGTTTTGTTTATATTGCACCTAATTGTACAACCGTTTGACACCACTCTGAGCACAATAGATCATCTGCACCATAATGTATTATTGTTTCACTATACAAATGTTGATATCACTGTAAAATATTGTTAATAATTCTGGATTAAAAAGTTCAGTCTTAGAAGCTGGTTGCATTTTCTGCTTCTGACGATTCAAGTAATTCCAAAAGACCCGCAGCATCTTTGCTTGCAAATTTCCTCCACTTGTCCGTTTCCCAGTAAGGACTTCTTGACAGCTATACATCTTTTTGGACGCATAGTGTTGAGTTATTTTCTTACAGTGGAAGGATGGACAGAAATATTGTGGATTTTTTCAGATTTGAAGCAAGAGTGGGGCTTGATTTTCTCCTCTCTCTCATAGATGAAAGCTTTATTTACTCTTTATCTGATAAAGGCAGTTTTGGTGGTCTACCAGGTCTTGCTTGGTTGTTAGGAGTCCCAATTTCTTCATCTTTAAACATTTTTGTGCAGTTTTGGAAACTTTTATTTATTTTCCTTTAATTTTTCCCTTCCTTATGCAAACGAATTCTCTCATATCTAATCTCCTCAGAAATATCCGTTAGAAAATGAATAACTTAACAGCTGTTTTGGCTGAAAATTAAATGAAGGCTGGTCTCTGACTTCTGTACAGTACTGTATCTATTCACATATGCACCTCTTTTTGACTCTTTTATATTTGTTTTCTATGTTTTGTTTTTCATTTATTTTTTACTTATTTGTTTTAGTGTAATGTTCTCTTGAATATTTGTTAACAGGCTCACATACTTGTCTGGTCTGTGTAGCATGTTACATGTGTGCGTTCACAAAAGCAAATGCTTTGCATGCGTAACATACCTGGAAAATGAATCTGCTTGTTATTCTTATCAAACCTAAAGTCCCTGAACAACAAACCAAACAAACGAAGCACTAGGCCTCTTAAACACATAACCCGCTAGGGTATTTCTGGTACCTATACCTTCAGACAGATGGCAGGTGTGGTTCCTTTGTGAGAAAAGCAAGGGTGTGGCGCAGCACTGACAGGATGGAAATCAGGTGCAGAAAGGGGAGGAGCAATGACTTGTTAGTTGTCTTAAGTTTGTGGTTGCCATGGCATACTCTGTTAAAAGTATGATCTCATCCTTTAGCTCACATTTTCTTCCCACAAAGGCTTTTTTTGGCACCTAATCAGAATACCTCGTCTATAACCTTTTGACATCACATCACTATGGCACCTTATATGATTAAACTTTTGGGGATTGCAACACTTTATTGACTCTATTTTTTGATTCTTTAGAATCTATTTATACCACATTGCACATTTAGATTGTGGAAACTGACCACCATCATAAATCCACCTGTTTTATACGCTCCAGGCACACAGGCAGCAAACTGATCATGTCACACCAGCAACTGGCTTACTTTGTACTTTCACCCACAGCGGCTGATAATAAATAAACCAGACAGACGGCTCCTCATTCTCTCCCCCTCCCTCACTTTCTCCTCCTCTGCACTATGAACGTTCATAACCCGACAAATTTATCCACCACTGTGCTACTGAGTTCAAAGTCCTGCTTGGATTACAGTCCTTACTGTGCCATTAGGCCACTCATCTAAGGGAGAGAGTAGAGTCAAGAAGGAAAGAGTTTCTTCAGTACATTTTATTAGAGATTAAATTGACCTTTTATGTTTTCCAAAAAATGTAAATGATATACGTGTAAATTACTCAACTCAGAATGAGAAAAAAATACTTGGTATTGTATTTTAGGCCTAGAAATGCATCTCCGAACAAGTCACAGAAACCTGTCTTTCCTCAGACTCTCAAGTAAAAGACTAACCTAATGCTCATGATCATAAAAGCAGAGACCATGCTAGGTAAGCTTACACAGTACAGTTTCCATGTGAGATGTGCTAGAGTATGAATATTTTCTCTCACTGCTATGCAGCCTGGAGACTCATAGAAAAACAAAACACTCTTGATATATTAGATCAGTATCAATTCACTTATGTAATAATATCAGTCTAGGAGAGCCAGGCAGTAGGGTAGTATGGCTGCTTCTGAGTGAAAATTGCTTTAGCTGCTCTTGCACCTTCGTGTCCCTTTAAATTTCAGGGAGGCGTGGCTAAGCTAAAGAAAGCGTGGTGTCCCAGTCACAACAAGGCGGGGTCGCGGTGACGTCAGAAACATCAACAGCCAATAGGCAGAGCCGAATCCCCCCTCCTACCCAGGCAAAACACTCAAGGGCAGAATAAGATTAAAACACTGCTGCTGTAAAAAACATTATTTGGTTTTAGATTTCCTCTTTTCTTTTTCTTGTTCACTAGACCTGAACAAGACCTGACTGCCCTTTACTGTTCGTTTCAACGCTGCTCTAAAATAAAAGATTTACTTGACAAATTTTCAACAGAGATGCTTTTTCCCATTCCATGACTCGCATGAATATGACAGGCTCCACGCTGAAAAAAGCTCACAAGCACATTAAAAAGGTACACTTACTTACAGTATTTACGTTTTCCCCGGGTAGGCACAGAAACGGTTTAATACGTAACTGGGAGCAACCCTTCTAATGTACTTGTCGCTGATTGGTCGGAGTTCTCGGGGCGTTTTTCTCTTAATGGACGTCTCTTTGAATCAATAGCAGGCTGACTTGCACTGTGACGCAGGCTAAAACGAGCCAATCATCGGCGTCAGTGGGGTGTTGACCTCCGAAACCGCATCACCGCCCTCCACGGCTCCGCGGCGGAGGGTTTGGCTATAAAGCGGATTGTGGCTCTGGTTTAAAGGGCAGAGTGGTAAAACACTCCCGGGCAGTGGGGGGGAGTCGGATTGCCTGTTGAGAAGCAGACCAGCCCACGTCAGAAATATAAAAATAAAAAATAAAACACTGACACTGTCGTAACTGGAATACGAATCTCAATCTTGAACTCTTTAGGGTAGAAGTCGCCGTGTTGAACGTTGAACGTCGTCGTCAAGCAGCTCCTGGGATCTAAACGGTTGCTACGCGAATCCAGCTCCTTAATGTGAGTACAAGATCAGCTTTAACGGTGTTAGTACGCTTTCTGAGTGTTTGCTAGGGTTAACTAAGTTAACGTGCACGAGTTGTTTCAGCAAAATCGCCGTTGTCATTGTCTGTATTGTCGTTTTTCTTTTCGGTGGTCTCATTAAATCCCCCTCCCCACCAAAGCGAAATGTCCATTAAGTGAGACAAGCCAAACGTGCTAACCAACGTTAGCTTTCTTAGCTAACGTTGGAGGTGAAGTAGTTTCGTGCACTGTCACTGGTTTTGTTTTAAGTCAGAAATGTCGTTGTGTTCAAGTTTAGCCCGGAGTACTGGAGAGGTATGCTTTACTGTACGAACTGTGACAGATTATCTCGGGTTGGTTAAATCCGTGTAGGCGTCACCGAGCTGTCTTCTTGCTAGTAAGACTGGGACGAAGCTGAAGGCAGCTCCTTGTTTGAATTTTCCCGTTCCACCTTAAATGGTGCAGCAGTTGCATTCTCCCTCAGGCGCCAGAATGTAGGAGCTGCACCATTTAAGGTGGAACGGGAAAATTCAAACACGGAGCTGGCGACTAGGAAACCAACTTCAGCCTCGTAAAACTGAGTTAGCTAACGTTAGTTAACGTCAAATAAAACCTGCGGGCCACAGTCTGTCCTTAGTGTCACTCTTCAACCCTGTGTCCAGCAAAATAAAGCCATAAATGTACCTCAGTTTAGGGTATAAATAGTCCAGAATCTGACTGATGTTAGCGTAGTTATGTTTCGCTTATTCTCGTTTACAATGTAGGTAAATTGTTTAAAAGCAGAACAGCAAACTGAGGCTAATCCTCTGTCAGCCAAAACCTGGATATGTCACCTTCCCATATAGGTTATTCTTTGTCTTTTTCATATCTTTAGACATAGATATAATTGGTCAGCTGTACTGGGGTTATAAAAATAGTCTGTGCTTTTTTGGTACAGGCTAACTGTATTAATTGTGTTATCTGAATATTGGTATTGAAAATTTGGGCGACACTGTGAAGCACATCATGCATTTATATCCGAAGAAAAACGTATCGTTACTGTACTAATTTGGTCATCCCTGTGTTAGCTACACCCTGTGTAGATCGCCATGTTATTGGCTGCTTTCTAGAAGAAACCTGATCGCAAAATCTATTGCGCAATGTCGTCTCCAAGTGTCGCATTGTTTGAAAATGCCCCATATTTCAGTGAAGCAGCTTTCAGTCCTTGGTTTTAGGATTACGGTACGAAACCAGTGCGGATTATGTAACATTCTTGTGACTTGTCGAGCTGTCTATGATCTCTGAAGTGACCACACTCGTTTGAGATTTTTCTTCAGCATTGATAAATTTAGATTTTAGTTAAGTTTTTATAGCTGAATCTTTCATTTTGAATGAAACTGCATGCTGTCATTGTGAATGTTTATACCAAATGCTTCAGTTTGATTTATATGTGCACTAAATGAGTGGAAAGTTGAACATTTTGCCTCTTTTTTTCCCCTTCCTCTAAGGATAAAGAAGACTTTCCTGTGGAACGGCAAATATTTTCCCAGCAACCAGCATCCCTGTCCGAACCGATCACTACTGCCTAGGAGGTTTTCACAGCACCCCGGATAAGACAGCTCTCGACTGCAGACATACTTGCAACTGTGAAGCAGCTATGCAGCTTGAAATCCAAGTAGCACTCAACTTCATTATATCTTACCTGTACAACAAACTCCCTCGGCGTCGAGTGAACATCTTTGGCGAGGAGCTGGAAAGGCAGTTGAAGAAGAAATATGAGGGCCACTGGTACCCCGACAAGCCATACAAAGGGTCTGGGTTCAGGTGTATACACGTGGGCGAGAAGGTGGATCCGGTAGTGGAAGAAGCAGCCAAAGAGAGCGGGCTGGACATCGAAGACGTCCGGAATAACTTGCCTCAGGACCTCAGTGTGTGGATCGACCCCTTTGAGGTGTCTTACCAGATTGGGGAAAAGGGACCCGTCAAGGTGCTTTACGTGGATGATAACAACGAGAACGGGTCAGAGTTGGACAAGGAGATCAGAAACAGTTTTAACCCAGACGCTCAGGTGTTCATGCCAATCAGCGAACCCGTGGGAGTCTCCTCCGAGTCCAGCTCGCCGTCGCCTCCTTTCGGCCAGTCTGCTTCGGTCAGCCCCTCGTTCATGCCACGCTCCACTCAGCCTTTAACCTTCACCACAGCCACTTTTGCCGCCACCAAGTTCGGCTCCACCAAGATGAAGAACAGCGGCCGCAGCAGCAGCAAGGTGGCGCGCACCTCTCCCACTAACCTGGGCCTGAATGTGAACAACCTACTGAAGCAGAAAGCCATCTCCACTTCCATGCATTCTCTCTATGGCCTTGGCCTCGGAGGGCAGCAGCAGAAGCCTTCAGCGCTCTCCCCTGATGCCAAGGAGTTTGTATACCCCAACCTGCAGGGCCAGGGCAGCTCCACTGCGATGTTCAACAGTGAGAATCCCCTCAGCCTCAGCCTCAGCCCTCAGCAGTATAACAATGCCTTCGATGTGTTTGCAGCCTACGGCAGCCTCAATGACAAGTCTCTCATGGATGGTCTAAACTTCAGTCTGAGCAACATGCAGTATTCTAACCAGCAATTCCAGCCAGTCATGGCTAACTAATGAATACAGAATGAATTATTTATGAATGATTGTTGGCAAAAGAAGAAAAGGAAAAAAAAATGACGCACACTAGTAAAGGACATGAAAAGGAACTGTGGACATGGAAACAAAAATCCCTATTAGTCACTGAAAAGCGCATGTGCCCAAGGGTGTTGTCTTTCTGTGCCCCCTTGAGTTTGTTTCTACTAAGAGCTTGTTGTACAAACGTGTCCAAGCTTGGTTACTTTCAGTCAAAACACATCATTGTTTTCTTTTCCTATTTTTGCCAACAAAGCACAAAATAATTTTTTACTATGTTTTAAAGAAAATACTTCTAAAATATTAAAAAAACATAAGCTTCAAGTTCTGGCCTCTTACAGTATTTTAAAGTTGGTTAAGACTTGGCTGATTTTTAAGAAATTGGCACTAACGAATATATATCTGGGGTTACTTGGTCTTTTTTCTAATTGTATAATTTAATTGAGTACAGAGTTTGTAAAGTATCAGAGTATATATATTGTTTCTACGACATGGTATTGCATTTATATCTTTTTACTACTCCAGTGATCTGTGATGGCTGCAGCAGCTTTATGTTATTATATATTTTGTTTTTTAATAAAATTGTTGAGGAAATCCATCTTTAAAATAGATCAAATATTCTGAAGATTGTGTACAGGATATTCTTTAGTGTCGGAAATTCAGTGTAGGAATATTTGCTTTTTTTGAAACACAAAAGTTGTATTTTCTGTTAAGAGTTAAAAAGATTTTTGCTATATTATGGACAATGTAATCGTATATATATTAATTTTGTACCTACATTGTGCAATACTTGATAAAATACGGTATAACAAAGTATTTTGAGTCAGTGTCTTACATGTCAAGAGGGACTGAAATAGTTTATATTAAGTTTGTATTAAAATGCTTCAAAATATATGCTTGTCTTTATTTTTTTTTATTTCATATTTGCACCCTGGCCTTTTTCAATAAAAGCAACTTTAGTCGAAAATGAGCTCTCAGTATGATTTTTTTGTTTGTTTGTTTTTCCATCATTCCAGATATATCGTAGCATGAAAATCATAATGAAATGGTAGAGCGAGTATGCCTTTGAACCCACAACAGAGTTAAGATGATTTTAACTTGGCAGCAGTGTGGGGTCAGCAGGCCCAGGAATGGTTGCTGAGAAGTCCAGTCTTCTGTCTTTCTATCTTTATGACACAAGGCAATTGTTTTAAAACTGGGTAGCACCTTGAAGGCATAACAATGCAACCCATATGTTGAAAATTTGTTGGTATTGTTAGCAGCAGCAGCTTATAGTGGAGGGATGAGGTTGTTGTTGTTGTTGTTGTGGTGGTGGTGGTTGGCTAATAAACTAATTTATTTGATTATACTGTTCGTTACTGAGAAAGCGATTGATTTTAGGCCTGCCTTATGGGCTAATGAAGCAATCAGATGAGTAAGATGTGAGGGGGAGGGCAGAGTATTTATTTTGTATTTCTGGCTTACATCAGTGTAGGACATTTAGCACCTGGGGGTTATGAGCATTCCAAGCAGACCAGTCCAAAATAATGTGTCTCCAGCAGCATGTGGGTCAGATGACTTTCGAAGGAAATGTCGACAAAGCTAAACAGACTCACTGTCCTGATTTTTATCTTTCTTAGTATTGTAAATGAAAACAAACTGGCTGGACAACGTCTCAAGAATGTCACGTGCTTCCTTTTTTACTCTGTAATTTAGGTTACAGCTTTAAGTGTGTGTATTCATAATATCAGCAGGTAGACCTAGTTCATGTTGTACAGTTATTAGGCTTTAAAGTTTGGACAGCTTTACTCATTGATTGAGTAATCACGCCTGCAGTCATATATGTGGCAAAGGTTGCCTCAAAACATTCTGAATAAACTGCACGTTCAGCTCTATGGTGTTGTGTCCGGCCTCCCTCTGTGAAAGCTTGTTACTTTTGTGGACAGACCAACCTTGCTCCGCAATTAGTCTTGAAATGTGCACTTTGTTTTCGCAGCTGAGTGTAAAGCCCCTCTCGTGAGAGCTGAGATTAGACTGTTCACGCATTCACAAAGCCTGCTTGTTTATTTCCAATGCTGCAGTTCAAAAGTGAGCAAATACTTATTGTGAACTTGGATATGACCAAATCGCATGTTCATCCAAGGGTTTTTTTCCCATTGGAAACCACTAATCTTTGTTACTGTTGATAAAGCGTTCTAGAATGTTCTGTGCTAGAAGATCTACATTTTCAAAATCAGACTGCTGGCTTCATATTTACTGCTACTATGGATTTCATCTTTACCATGTTTTCTTTCTGAGTTTTTGATTGTGTCCACTGGTTCCAATCACAGTTGCCTATAGGGTGAGATGTGTTCCTGATACTACAGTAGGAATTTTATAGAGCAGCTGTATTGCCACGAATCATCCAACATACTTTAAAGCTGTGATGAAAACTCCAAGCTGCACTGCACTATATTGAAACAATTTCCTGAGTATTAGGACCTCATCTACTTTCTCTTTGAGCAATAGACTTTCCTGATGGAAGACATATAAGGGTTTGAGGGGCCAAGAAGTGAAAAGGGTCAGAAGAACCTTATGTCGCCTTCACAATTGCTTCATGAGTTTGGTTCACCAAAGAACATACAGTAAAATATACCAAAAGCATTTCAATATAGTGGATTGAAGACACCCCAATAAGTTTGGCTTATGGTGTCATTTCACATATAGTCTAACCATGATGTAGCCAGTAAACTCTATCAAAATAAATATCAAACTCTGGCTGCATATGAAGGCCACTTTTGGTATGTTACTAGTCAACATAGAGGTTGCTGGCATGTACAGTATCTTAGCGACGTTTCTGGGAAACTAGGTGGGGCAAAGTGCGTAAGTTCAGTGCCTTTACAAAAATGCTCGGTATTTGTATAGAGGTTGAAAATCAGGTCAATCAAGTACATGAATTCACCATGCAAGACTATTTTAAACCCAAGTGGAAAAGGGAAAAAAGGGAATCTTTTGTGATCACGTCAGCTTTTATGACGATTACATGACGCGTTTAGCCACTCTTTTACTGAGCATCACAATAGAGGTATGAGACAAAGTGGTATCAGAATGCTGATGCTTTATAATCAAAGCCTGTAGATCATTGCTGATTAATCCATGACGTCACAAATGCACCCAATTATGACATCACAGCAATTGATCTTGTAATTTCAAAACAAATCAATGACACAAAGCACAGGTTGTGGCATCAAAAAGACACATTTATATAGCAGCTCTTGGAAAATGGCCTTTTTATTTTTATATCATCATCTGTGGTACAACGGCAGGGCTTAAGTGGCCAAAATGAGGAATTGATTCTTCTGCGACAAAACCCTTCGCACATAGAATGACTTGTGACTGAGTAGCGTTCGAGCAGAAGCAGATGCAGTATTGATGGATTTTGTTTGCCGTTGTTGTGCTTCCCTCTTGGAGTGTATCAGTGGCAGCGGCGGAGACCATTCCTCTCCCCCCGGTCCCTAAAGTATTTGATGTTCCCGGCCCTGTGTAATTTAATCTCGGTTGGCTCCCTGCAGCTCTCACCCATAAACCTCTGCTCTTATAATAGGAAGCTGCAACACAATTTCTCCTCTAGTCTAGCTTCCTCTGCTCAGGAGAGATAAGACAGCAGTTTGTTTTGGTCACGAATTGCCCGCTGGAACTTAATTGTTATGCCTATGTAATATATGGTAGCCCTGACTACATGGAAATAGGACCTAGCCACTAGCCCCCTCTGCTCCACTTGTGTCGAGTACTTGACGGACATTAGATTTCGTCGGGATAAAACATAACCTTTTAATCAGAACAGCCTTTTGTTAGGCTTTCCCAGCTGACATGGCCAGTCATTTAGATGCTCCAAACATAAGCCCTCTCCTATGGCATACTAAGCCTTTCTTTTGGTCTCTATAAATTGGTTTGAGCTCAGAGGCCTCGCGAAAAAGGGGCTGTCATGCACACACGTGTTCACACTCCTTGAAAAGGCTTATGAGGAAACACCCCATATGTCAGGCCTGAAGAATTCCTCTGTGATGCAAGCCAGTAGAATCCCTGTCAGGCGGCCTGTGACCTAAAGGAAACTATCCATCAGTTAAACCCCGTGTGGAACTGAACTGTTTAAAATCTCCACTCTATACGACTGACGTAACAAGGCCCACTGCTAAAACTGGCCTCTTCAAAACATTTGCTTAAATGTTTCGCCTTTAAATTCAGCATGAAGCTTCTGTTTCCCCCATGCTTCCCGAAGAGTGGCTGCTGTGCTTCCGCAGCAAGTCGGCTAGCCGCCTTACATCAGCAATGTGTCTGTGTCCACTGAGGTAGGAAAAAAAAAATCAGTGCAGCACTCAGAGGAACTCTCCCCAGTCTAAATTATTCAGCACGGATGAAACTAAAAGGCTCACTGATGTGCTACACAATTTTCAGCTAAGGTCAAGGTAAGATGGAAAAATCCATGACTTTTGCTACTTTGTCAGTGTCAGTGGAAGCATATAGGCTAGAAACTCTGGACTGGGTGCTGAAAGTGGAATTACAGACATCTAAAGATTGAGAGACACCAAAAGACAGTGTCTCTCATTCTCTCAGATAATGACAAAAAAAGAATTCCATTTCTTTGCCAAAAATTTTCCAGTCACTGTGAGTTATTCAACACTCTTTGTGACACTCAGTGGAGCACAGTTCTAAATTTAAATGTAATAGGTTTTCAAACGTGTTGCAGGCTTTTTTTTTATTATTGCAGGTTATTTTTAAGTAGCTCAATTCCAGGTTTTGCCCTCGCAGGAGATTTGCAGTAACATTTGCATGAGCAGCTAGCAATATGATCGTGTTTACTTGTATAAAAGTTGAAAATAATTCTTATAGTCATGTACAATAAATAGAATAAGAACAAAGGACAAACCAAACATATGCCTGGGGCTCAGCTTCACGCTTGGGAGTGCAAATTTGTTCGGGGTACAAATATTTAGAAAAAGACAGAAGAGAAGCATATCGTTGCTGTCCGTGGAAAAACATATATTTCCAAAATAGTGATTTTATAGGGCCAATCTACAATGTTTTTGACCTTTAATGTAAGTTAATGAAAAAGTTCTTATTCCAAGCAATTTTAGAACATTTCTGTTGGTCCATTCATCATGAAATTTTCACATAATGTAAAGGGCAGTCACCCTGTTCAAAGCATGTAGATGAATAAAAATCATCACAAATGGAGATATATGTTTTTTTTTTTTGGCCCTGTGATGGACTGGCAACCTGTCCAGGGTGTATCCTGCCTTCCGCCCAATGACCGCTGGGATAGGTTCCAGCTCCCCCCGCGACCCATAAGGATAAGCGGCTTAGAAAATGTGTGTGCGTGTGTTTTTTTGGAAAGTGACATATCCTGGCAAATACTGTACATTCATTTACTACCAGTGGTGTAGGACGTGTATGATCCTGTTGGTTGTTAATGAGAAGCTATATCCAGTGGTATATCCAGACCACGTTTTAGTGGTAGGGGAAATGGACAAGGTTTATAGCCTCTGGGACTCGATGATCGTTTGTGCTTTACCTATAAGATTCCCAAATTTGTCTGTCACAAATACCAACAGTGTAGAAATCCTGCCTGCTCATAAAATGAGGAAAGTTGTGTTAAATACAAAGAGTTCTTTGGTAGTTCTCTAGTGGGGCAGGCCATAGTAGCTGACACAATATAAAATAGTTTATTGAGACATATTTGAATATACTTTTTTTCTTAAATATAAAGCAGGAAACAAATAGGACAAACAGTGTTGTTGAACCTATTTGTATATCGCAAAACATTTTAGCACGCAACACTGCGTATATGTTAGTTTAAGAGCTGCAGATGGTGTTGGACGTAGTCAAATTTTTGTTGTCAGGATTCATGTGAGACATGTCAATAGGCCTATTGTTCTTTGGACCATCTCACTACATTATGCTGTGTGTTACAACTTGCTTGCTTGCGTCCTGGTCAATCGTGACATTGCT